CGCCTGTGGACGAAGGCGAGGGCAAAAGTCAGGCGATGAGCAATCCGCTGGATGCGCTCACACGTGACTTCGAAGAGGAGGACAGGCAACGAGCGGCAGCAGCGCCAGTTGCAGTAACGACGATCAAGATCAAGCCCGTTAACCAGCCCCCGTTTAATCCTACGGACAGGACGGTTACGGTAAAAGGGTGGTTGTTCGGGGTCGAGGTCTTTTTTACTGCAGCCAGAGTTAATGACGACGCCACGCGTATAAATTACGCGGTTTCGCTTCTTCGAGGTGCAGCGCTTGAGTGGTGGTGCCGAACCTTGGAAACATGGATGCCGACAGGTGTGACGCATGCGGCAGACCAGACCTCAACAGTGACTAATCAAGTGGCACAATCAATCTTCGGAGTGACCGCGATACGCACGTGGAAGGAGTGGGGCGCAGCCTTACGAGATCGCTTCGAGCACGTATCCGCCTCGGAGCAAGCTCGCATGAAGCTGCGTGCATGGTCGCAGATGGCTTCTGTCCAAGACTACAAGGCGTCATTTATGGGCCTCGCCGACCAAGTTGATGACATGTCAGAAGCTGGGCGGTTAGATAAGTACATCAGCGGCCTCAACTACGAGATACAGTACGAGGTTCGCAGGGGCCGCCCGACGTCATTTCTTGCAGCATTACGGCTGGCGGAGTCTACAGATGCGCTGATGCAGTACGCGAGAGCAGCTTCCCGGGAGGGAAACCGCTTTCGTGGCCAGACCCATCGGGCCACGATCAACGCCGTCAATACACCCGGTCGCCCTCCTAAGGGACCGTGTTACCGGTGTGGGAAGACGAGTCACTACAGGAGAGAATGCCACGAGAAAACGCCGCTGACGGGGAACGATAGGAAGGAGCAGGGAAATGGGAAAAGTCAGTAATTAGCGGGCCCTTTACTAACTGTGCTCCGTCGCCCGTGATAAAGTTTAAATGAAAGGAGAGGGTTGCACTAGCAAGAATGAGGGTACAAATAGCAAACCCTAGAAGGGTTGTACTCGCTATAGAGCACCCCACTACAGACTAGAGCATAACATTCTGACACACCCCCATAGCCAAAGTGGGGTGTAATCAGCAGAGCAAGCAAAGCAGTACAAGCTCAGGGTGGATCACAATGTCACCACACATTCTTAGCACAAGTTCAAGAAGCAATAGTTTAAAGTTCACAATTATGAGCAAAGCTAGTGGTAGTCACAACGGGCAAGTGAGGAGGAGGAAAGAGACTATGAGAGGAGAGGAGGTAGTGAGCGGCAGCTGAAGCTGCTGGCACACGGCGCAACTGGAGCAACTGGCACACGGGCAACTGGAGCAACTAGCACACTGGCAACTGGAGCAATTGGCACACGGGCTACTGGAGTAACTGGCTCCGCGGCTAAAAGTAGCGGCAGACGAGCAATGGACTCACGGGCGACTGGAGCAACGGGCTCACGGGCGACTGGCGCAACGAGCTCACGGGCGACTGGCGCAACGGTCTCACGGGCGACTGTAGCTGCTGGCTTCACGGCGGCCACCCCCTTCAACCTCCCCAAACTATCCCACTCCCCCTGACACACACTCGCTGCTACACCGCTAGCTCCACTCCCCCTTCACCCCCCCTTAGTACCACTCCAACGGCTCCAACAAGTCCACCCCCCCTCAGCGGCAGCTGCAGCACAGGGAGACGGAGGAGGAGGAGGAGCAGGGAACGTCACACAGTGGCTTCACCCCCATACCCCTCACCCCCAAACCCTAATTCAGTTAACAGGCTGTAGGAGGGGTGGGGCGCCAGTAGAAGCACGGGGGACAGCGGGGAGGGCAGGGGCAGCGAGGAAAGGGCCGCCCACAGGCCTGGCACAGCCGCCCGAACCGCGCGCAGGCGGCCCGAGCTGCGCGCGGGCCTGGCGCAGCCCATACGGGCCGCGCGCAGCCTGTACGGGCCGCGCGCAGGCCACGACGGGCGTCGAGGGGCGACGCGCGGGTCCCCGTCGCCCGTCGCAGCGCCTCCCGAGGGCGACGCGCCGAGTGTCGGGGCACAAGCCCGCCGCGCGCCTCGGGGCGCACAGCGGGCAGAGAACCGCCGCGCGCCACGGGGCGCACGGCGAGCAGAAAACCGCCGCGCGCCTCGGGGCGCACGGCGGGAAGAAAAACTGCTGCACGCCACGGGGCGTGCGGCACAGAGAGTAGCAGTGGAAGTTGCAGCGGAAGCAACGAGGTGGTGAGCCCACCCACAGGATCGATCCAAGGGGGATCGACCTGCTCTGATAGCATGGTAAAGTTTAAACGAAAGGAGAGGGTTGCACTAGCAAGAATGAGGATACAAATAGCAAACCCTAGAAAGGTTGTACTTGCTATAGAGCACCCCACTACAAGCTAGAGCATAATATTTTGACAGCCCGAACTCCACCATCCCCACTGAGTCGTGGTTCCGATTCATGCAATCGATCTCACTCGGACGAATAACGGGGATACACATGTGGATCACCCTGTGCTGGTCGCTGACAAGGTGTTAAAAAATAACATGAAAATGTTCATCGATGGAGGTGCCAGCCATAGCCTCTTCAACTTGTCGAGCGCAAAAAAATGCTGTCAGAATCCCAACCACTAGACCACTGGGATAAAAGGGCTTGTTTCAGTAGCGGGTCAGTGCGCCCATAACCCCCCAGGCGAATGTGTCTGTAACCCTCTCCAGGATCAATCGGGCATCCACAGTGCAGATCTACTGACACCCCTCCCCACTAAGAGGCCCAGGACTAAGCACAGCGGCAACGGCCTACATGTGCATACACCGGGAATCGAACCCGAGACTGCTCTGATACCATGTCAAAATCCCAACCACTAGACCACTGGGATAAAAGGGCTTGTTTCAGTAGCGGGTCAGTGCGCCCATAACCCCCCAGGCGAATGCGCCTGTAACCCTCTCCAGGATCAATCGGGCATCCACAGAGCAGATCTACTGACAAATGCAAGCTGCAACTTGACAGGTGTCTGCCCAAAATTGACGCCCGCCTCGTGGATGGGACGCCTCTGGCGATAACGGAAGAAACACGGACGGTCAGGATCGAATGCGGCGACGATTTCGGCTTCATCATGAAGTTTATCGCGACAACATTGGACGACTGCGACGTGCTGCTAAGACGTGGTTGGCTGCGACGGCACAACCCCGTCATCGACTGGACAACGGGATCGTGCAACATCCACAAGCACGAGGGGCTAATTAAACTACCTGCATGGACGCCTGACTACATCCAAGCCTCGTGCGTCAAAGCTATCACTATAGCTCGCAACTTCAACAGAGGTGCGCAATTGTTCGCTGTTTGCTTACGCGAGTTGGCGGTTGACACCGACGGAAAGGACATCGAGAAGCTGTGTGCAGCTGTACCACCGGATTTAGTGGAGCTGATTCGGAGGTACCCGGACATTTTCCCCGACGACCTGCCACCTGGACTGCCACCCGAGAGACATGAGGACCACAGAATCCAGCTGGAACCTGGCGCGCAGCCGACTGTTCGGACACAATGGCGGTTGACCCAGCCGGAACTTGAGGAGCTGCGAATTCAAATTGACGCACTATTGGAGAAAGGGTTCATTCGGGCCAGCACATCTCCCTTCGCAGCACCGATCCTATTCACCCCGAAGAAGGACGGCGGGCTTCGCATGTGTATCGACTATCGCGCGCTCAACCGGGTCACCATCAGGTCTTGCTACCCAATCCCACACACCGACGACCTCCTCGACCAACTTCGCGGCGCTCGATATTTCTCAAAGATTGACTTACGTGGCGGTTACCACCAGATTCGAGTCTTTGCCGACGATTGTCACAAGACTGCGTTTCGCACACGCTACGGGAGTTACGAATTTACAGTGATGCCTTTCGGCCTCACGAACGCGCCTTCGACTTTTCAACTGACCATGAACATGTCAGAATATAATACTTGTCTAGCCTGCAGTGGGGTACTCTATAGCGAGTACAGCCCCTTAGGGTTTCCTATTTGTATCCTACTGCTTGCTAGTGCAAACCCCTCCTTTGCTCATTTCTCTCTTGCCTAGCTAGGACTTACCTAGCTGTGGCTCCTCACTATAGCTACTATTCTCACAGAACAGAGATTTTCGGGATCTTCTAGACCGATGTGTCATCGTCTACTTGGACGATATCCTGATTTTTAGCAAGACACGGGAGCAGCACCTCCGCGACCTGGATGTAATGTTTAAGCGGCTGCAGGAGAACCGACTCATCACCAAGGGCTCTAAGTGCGAGTTTTTTAAGCAGGAGTTGGAGTTCTTGGGGCACGTCATCTCGCGCGACGACATTAAAATCGACCTGGCGAAAATCAAGACCATACAAGAGTGGAAGTCCCCGACGAACGTCACGAAACTCCAGAGTTTTCTAGGATTCGTGAATTACGTCCGGCGGTTTATCCCGAATATGGCAAGGATAACCGGCCCGCTAACCGACCTGCTACACAAGGAGAAGAATTTTGTGTGGGGGGAGGAGGCACAAGCGGCTTTCTAGGAACTCAAGAATTTCCTCGTTTCCCCTCCTGTGCTGCGCATCGCCGACCCATTGAAGCCGTTCGAAGTTGTAACCGACGCCTCAGATTTCTGAGGAAAGTCGAACGAGAATGGATGGACTATGAATGAAGTAAGTACAAATATGAAACCATGATTGGTTGTACCCCCTATGGGATACCCCACTACAGCCTACACAATAGCATAAGCTATAATGTTCAGACTCGCCCCCATAGGCAAAGTGGGGGAGAACAAGGGGTCACAAGACCAGTCAAGCAAAGCAAGCAAGGCTCAGATTGGATCACAAAGTCACCACACATTCCGAGCACAAGTTCAAAGGCCACAAGGCCAGTTCACATACAGGAGCATGTGTATATATAAGAGACTAAACAAGCAAGAGCAAGAGTATATAGAAGTGACTGTACAAGCAAGGTCAAGAAACAGGCTAGTGAGGCAAGACAGGCACAAGACCAAGCTGAGTGCAGAAGCGCTGATGATCACAAGGCGCAAGTGCTTTTGGTGAAGACATCAGCAGTGTTGGCCTCAGAGGCCACGTACGCAAGCCGCAACTGTCCACGCTGCTGTAGCTCACGAGCAAGGAAGTAGCGGAGAGCAATGTCCTTTGTTCTGTGCTCCAGTCGCTGCTCTCGACACAAGACCAGCATGGCCTTGTTGTCTACGTACAGGACTGGAGGAGAACGAGGCGGCTCTCCAAGGTCGATCAGCAGGTAGGTGAGCCAGCAAAGCTCCTGTGCAGCCATGGCCCCGGCGTAGATCTCAGCCTCACAACTGGAGCCGATAACAGAAGACGAGCGAGTAGCCCGCCACGAAACATAACCGAAACCAAGGCTGAAGGTGTAACCCTGTGACGACCGCTGCGTAGCCTGGTCGTCAGCCCAAGAAGCGTCCGCGTGTCCAGTGAGGACCACTGGACTCCACCCTCTAAGCACAAGCCCCATGCCCAACGTACTGCACAAGTAGCGCAACACCCTCTTCGCTGCAGCCATCTGCTCTGGTCGGTGTCTCCCAGGAGCAACATAGCGTGCGAGAATGCTAAGAGGGTATGCAAGGTCAGGTCGTGTGCAGGTCATCAGGTACATGAGGCAGCCAACAAGATCTGGATAAAGGCCACTCGACTCTACGGACTCATCCGAAGGCAGAGCTGAGAGCGAGTGGCGAGTAGGCAGAGGAGTGGCCTGAGGCGAGGAGTACGTGAAGCCGAAGCGCTGAAGGACCTGCTGCACCATGTGTGACTGAGTCAGGGTAATGGTGCGGCGTGCTCTGTCCCGGGTGATCTGCAAGCCAAGGTAGCTGCGCAGTTCACCCAGGTCAGTGCACGTGTGTCTCTTCTGCAGCTCGGACTTCACGTAGGCGAGTCCAGCAGAATCAGCTGTGGCAAAGACCAAGCCGTCGACGTACACGAGGATGTAGAACGGCGGCAGAGAGGTGTCGGTGCGCAGAAACAGCGACGGGTCGGCAGTAGAAGGAGCAAACCCAAGAGCCGCAAGTGTAGTCTTCAGTGTGTCGTGCCACTCTCGTGGCGCCTGGCGGAGACCGTAGACTGGACGCCGGAGACTCCATGGGGTACGAGGAGGGAAAGACCCAATGAAGCCAGGTGGGCGGCGCAGCCAGATCTCCTCGTGCAGGCTGCCCTGCAAGAAAGCTGTGCTGAAGTCGAGAGAGTGCAGCTCGTAGTCACGGTGAGCAGCAACGTGCAGTAATACCCGAAGAGTGGTCATCTTCGGGGTGGGGGAGAAGGTCTGAAAGTAGTCAACTCCCTGCCGCTGACTGAAACCACGAGCCACGTAACGCGCCTTGAAGACAGGCGGAGAACCCGGCGGCCGCTTCACCCTGAAGATCCACATGCCGCTGACGATGTTCGCCCCAGGAGGGGGGACAGCGTCAACGTAGGTGCCTGTGGACTTCCAGGAAGCCATCTCTGCATCCATAGCTGCCTTCTACTGAGAGGAGTAGGGACCCTCTATCGCCTCCGCGTAAGAGCGCGGAGTCGGGATGTCAAGTGCATCCGAGTCTCCGTCAGGGGTAAGCAATACGGACATGAGATGAGGTGAAGCAGCCGCCAGACACTGGAACTCCTCCTGCCTATCCTCAAGGACGTCCGTGCCAAGAGCACACTCACCCCCGACGGACGGAGAGCAGACAGACTCAGACTCAGCGACAAGACTAGTGGCGTAGTCTAAGCGACAACGAGCAGCAAAGTCGACGAGCTCAGTAACGAGAGCAGACGCAGCAGTAGACTCGAAAGAAGGGTCAGTGACAACAGTAGCAAGGAGACGCGTGACAGTAGGACTAGCAGCACGAAGAGAGTCCGACTCAGGGTCCGCAAGAGCAGGAAGAGAGGACTCACAAGGGGAAGGCAAAGGGGCACGCAGAGGAGCAGTAGACGGACGCAGAGACATCCGGTGCGTGCCAGGGACAGGAGGAGGACGCTGGCGCGAACCGCGACCACTAGTGTGAGCAGCACGAACAGGTGACGCAGGACAAAACGCAGGCTCACGACGCTCAGTAAGACCTCCAGTAGGACCAGCGTAGGGAGAAGGAGCAGGCAAAGGGGAGGCAGGCTGTAGCTGTGACTGTGACGGGACAGGCTGTGGACACTCTAAGGTAGGAGGCGGACCTGCTGCAGGAGTGGAACAAAGTACGGTCGAGGCCGCGTGGCGACGCCAGAAGCAGCAGGGACAGCACCAGTACCCTCAGCTGGAGCACCCGCCCCAGCAGAACCTCCAGCAACTCGAGAACCTCAAGAAGCACCAAAAGCACCCCCAGTAGGACCGTTAGCAGTAGTCTCAGCACCAACACCCTCAGCAGCACCAGCTCCAGTCGAACCCGCAGGCCCAGCAGCTCCAGTACTCCCAGTACGAGCACCTCCGGGAACCGCGACCGCAACACCCTCAGTAGTCGAAGAACCTCCAGCACTAGCAGAACGGCGCCAGCGCCGGGCAAACCACTCACGCAGCTCTTGTGGAGAGAGGGGCTCCCGGCGAGAAGAAGCACCCGGAGAACCTCGAGGCGGAGCACCTCCACGCTCAGCACCCCCAGGCGTAGCACCGCCAGGCTCAGCACCCCCAGGCGTAGCACCCCCAGGCTCAGCACCCCCAGTCGCAGCACCCCCAAACACAGCACCCCCAGGCTCAGCACCCCCAGGCTCAGCACCCCAAGACGTAGCACCCCGAGGCTCAGCACCACCAGACTCCGAACCCCTAGGTCTAGCGCCCCCAGGCTCAGCACCCCCTGCAGCACCAGAGTCACCAGTGACCTCGACAGGCTTGACTGCGTCTACCTGGGACACACCTGAAAGGGCAGGACCCTGAGGGGGAAGGGAGTCTACCTGGGGGGGACCTGATACAAGGAAGAGTGGGGGTGGGGGAAGGGACGAAGTGCGGTAGGGGAAGAGGCGGTAGTAGGGGACCGACTCGTCAAACGTGACGTCCTGGGAGGACAGAACACGTCGAGAGGTGGGGTGGTAGAATTGCCACCCAGGCGCGTCAGGGGGGAAACCCAGGAAGACGCAAGGAGCAGCACGAGGGGACAGCTTGTCCGCAGACAAGTCGCGGACAAACGCCCGAGATCCCCAGACCCGGAACACTGACGCATCGCCAACCTTCCCCGTCCACAGCAAGGCTGGGGAGGTCTCCGGCCTGGAGACTCTGGGGTGGAGGTTGATCTGATGCGCCGCGTACCTCACCGCAAACAGCCACAGAAAATGGGGGGCAGCCACATGCATCATAGACGTACGAGCGACGTCCATGACCATGCCAATGCGGCGCTCAGCAATCCCATTTTGCTGCGGTGAGTCCGGAAGCGTGAAGGTCTGACGGATGCCTCGTGCACGACAGTAGGCTCGCAGAAGGCCAGAGGAGAACTCTCCGCCTCTGTCCGAGTGCAGACGCAGAACAGGGAAGTCCGAGCCAAAGCTCTTCCTGAGCTGGAGACGAGCAGCGCGGATTCAGTCGATCTGTTCCTCACTGACATCACCCTTGCTGCGCAAGGGGAAGATTGTGGTGTAACGCGAGTAGTCGTCAACAACGAGCAGGAAGTAGCGCTCGTGACCCTGTCCACGTATGCGGGCTGGGCCCCACACGTCGATGTGAAGCGTCTGCAACGGGGCGTCTGTCGGAGGAAACTGGGAGGAGTGAGGGGCAGCACGCTGGCGCCCCTCGACACAGGGGACACAGGTAGGGCCACCGCCCTGAGGAAGGGGAGGGAGGGACCAGGGGAGACCAGACACAAGAAGACGAGAGGCCATGCCTCTGAGCCGAAGCAGTGAGGGGTGGCCAAGGCGGTGGTGCCAGAGGAGAGTCTCGTGAGACAGGAGACGACACGAACAGGGGGCAGACTCAGGACCAGACCTGGACGCCGCAGCAAACACCTGACCCGACTCAGCTACCTTACCAGACTTAGCAATTGGAGGAGACGCAGTGGTCAGAGTGTACAGGCTCGACCCCGGCTGACGGGTGAACGTAGCCAGGTGTCGGCCTGTGCTAGCCTTTGTGCAGTGTGTCACTCGCTGACGCGCAGGAGTGAACTGGTGGACACCTGCATCCTGTAGGTCAGCACCACTCACCAGGTTTGTCGCGAACGAGGGGAGGTAAAGACCAGACAGGGTGCCAGAGGGAGCCGCTGGACACGGGAGGACTGTGGAGAAGCGAGACAGTACAGGACCCCCGGAGGGGTCAGCCAAAGACACCGCAACCGGCCGATTGAGCGGCATGAATGTGGTGCGGTCCCAAAAGAAGTAGCGAGACGCCCTAGAGTCAAGGGTGAAGGTGAGGGAGGCCGAAGCCAACGTAGTACCTGAGAGCGCAGACTCACCAGTACGTGAGGACGCAGACACACTAGCACCTAGAGCAGCAACGTCGCAAGCACCTAGGGCAGCAGCCGCACCAGTACCTAGAGCAACAGACTCAATGCCCGGATCGGGCGGGAAATAGCGGTAACAGTCACCCTTATCACTAGTAGACACAGAATACATGGCAGAGAGAATAGCATCAAAGTCAAGATCAAAGATGGCAACACCCGCCCTAGACAGCTCGCCCCAGCGAGGGATCTCTGAGGCCTCTGGGAACTGGTGACGCCACGCGTCCGTCACGCGGCCAAAGCAGCGCTGGGTGGGGTGCGTGCCCTCACACTGCTCACCCGCACGGTCGCCGGTGCGCAGGATGTGGGTGCACGGACCAAAACCCCCACCCCGCTGGCGTGCAGTGTACCACTCACGGAGCTGCTGAGGGGACAAGGTCTCATGACCGCGCTGCTGCTGCTGGCGCGAGCCACCATCGGAGCCACTCCTCTGCGAAGACCCGCAACCAGCTCCACCGCCACCCCCACCGCCTCCGCCGCCTCCGCCGCCTTTGCTGCTGCCGCCGCCTCCGCCGCCGCCTCCACCGCCGCCTCCTCCGCCACCTCCGCTCTCCGCCGCCGCCGCCTCTGCCTCCACTGCCGCCACCGACCCCCCCACCCCCACCTCCACTCCCACCGCCACCCCCACTCCCCCCACCGCCTCCACCTCCACCTCCACCGCCCGCTCCTCCAGCTCCCTTGCCCCCCTTGCCCTTGCTAGGGCGGCGTCTCCCGCTACGGGTGGACGCCGCACCGACCGACTCAAGACCAAGGAGGTCGGCCGTAGCAGCAGAGGCAACAAAGGGCAGCAGGGGGGAGGGGGAACGCCCCTCAAAGATGGGGGTGCGCGGGTCACCTCGAGAGGCTCCTACATCAACTATACTCTTCTCCGCTGCTAAGAGGGCCTTCTCGAGGAGGTTGAGAGTGAGTGTGGTGGGACAGACTGAGAGAAAGTGGTCCCTGACTACTCGAAGGGAGTCAGGAAGGCGAGTGACTAGGAAGTACAGAGTGATGTACATGGGGGGGGGGTTTTTGGCGCAGAAGTCAGCAGGGAGTGCAGCGCGGTAGCGAGTGACACTAGTGCGGAGGTGCGTAATGAGGTCAGCCACGGTGGGAAAGGCAGCAAGGTCAGGGAAGAGGTACGGTAGCATGAGACGGCTCAGTGCAGCAGTGGCAGGGGAGGAGTAGCGCGCGACTACAGCGTCGTACAAGGTCTGAGCACTCTTGTACTGACTAAAGTGCGCACGCTCGGAGGTAGGGAGGTGGCGACGCACAGCAAGACGTGCAGCAGCGTCGCGCGTGGCCCACTGGGAGCGAACAGTGGCGTCAGCATCAGCAGCAGGGGCAGGGGAAGCGTTAGAGGTAAGGTCAAAGAGAGAGAGGCCGTCTACCCTATCGCACTATAAGAACAGCTGCAGGTCGTCTACCCAGAACTCAAAGTCAATGGCCCTACCCTCAGCGTCAAAAGTGAGGACACTGGGGGTAGCCATGACGAAAGACGCCTAGCAGTGCAAACAATAGGGTGAGGGCACGCAGTGACAGAGGGGCTGTGCTCACCGGACAAGGCTGCTCGGGTGGCTCGGCTGTAGGGCGGCTCGGCGGCTCTGCGGCTCGGCTGCTAGGGCGGTTCGGCGGCTCGGCGGCTCGGCTGCTGTGTGGCTCGGCTGCACGGCGGCTCGACTGGTGGGCGGGTGGGCGGCTCGGCTGCAGTGCAACTCGGCAGCAGAGCAGCTCGGCTCCTCTTCTGCTGGGCGGCTCAGTAGTGTCGCTGTAGGGCGGCGCGGCAGGAGCAGGAGGCGGCGGGGCCGCTGCGATAGGACGGCGGGGCCGCAGGAGTAGGGCGGCGAGGCCGCGAGGTAGGGCGGCAGGGCCGCGACGTAGGGCGGCGGGGCCGCAGGGGTAGGGCGGCAGGGCCACTTATGTAGGGCAGCGGGGCCGCGTGAGTAGGGCGGCGGGGCCGCGAGGTAGGGCGGCGGGGCCGCGACGTAGGGCGGCGGGGCTGCAGGGGTAGGGCAGCGGGGCTGCTGATGTAGGGCAGCGGGGCCGCGTGAGTAGGGCGGCGGGGCCGCGACGTAGGGCGACGGGGCCGCGACGTAGGGCGGCGGGGCCGCTGATGTAGGGCGGCGGGGCCGCGTGAGTAGGGTGGCGGGGCCGCGACGTAGGGCGGCGGGGCCGCAACGTAGGGCGGCGGGGCCGCTGATGTAGGGCGGCGGGGCCGCGAGGTAGGGCGGCGGGGCCGCAGGAGCAAGGCGGCGGGGCCGCCGAGAAAGGCGGCGGGGCCGCCGAGAAAGGCGGCGGGGCCGCCGAGAAAGGCGGCAGGGCCGCGACGTAGGGCGGCGGGGTTGCAGGAGTAGGGCGGTGGGGCCGCGACGTAGGGCGGCGGGGCCGCAGAAGCAAGGCGGCGGGGCCGCCGAGAAAGGCGGCGGGGTCGCGACTTAGGGCGGCGGGGCCGCAGGAGTAGGGCGGCGGAGCCGCGACGTAGGGCAGCAGGGCCGCGACGTAGGGCAGCGGGGCCGCAGGAGATGGAGGGCCGCTAGGGCGTAGTGGCCACTAGGGCGGCTCGACGAGGTGAAAGCCCGAGGCGCGACTCGGGGGGGGGGGGGGGGAGCGCGCTTCGGGCAGGAAAAAAAATTCTCGATATGGTGGGCCCTAGGCACAGTTCCCACGGGGGAACCTGCTCGATACCATGAGGAAAGTCGAACGAGAATGGATGGACTATGAATGAAGTGAGTACAAATATGAAACCATGATTGGTTGTACCCCCTATGGGATACCCCACTACAGCCTACACAACAGCATAAGCTATAATGTTCTGACAATTTCGCCATCGGAGCTGTGCTTCTCCAAGACTTTGGGAACGGGTTGCACCCGATAGCCTACGAATCACGCAAGCTGCAGGCAGCGGAACGCAACTACCCGATCCACGACAAGGAGATGCTCGCCATCATACACGCGTCTAAATTATGGCGATGCTATCTGGTGGGAGCCGACGTCACTGTTCGCGCGGACCACAACTCCCTACAGTACCTGCGAGCTCAACCCAACCTCAACCTACGACAGATTTGGTGGCTGGACTACATGGAGAGCCACTTCACCTACCGCATCACGTACAAAAAAGGGGCTAATAACATCGCCGACGCCCTGACCCGGCCGACAGTACAATCCGTTGCAGTTATCATCACCCACTCGAACCCGTTACTTACCGGACTATTTACCCACGGCTACACGACGGACCCATTCTTCACGACGGGAAATCATTAGCAGGCTACGATGCAGAAAGGGGACTATTACCTTCAAGCCGGAACCGACCGGATTTGGGTTCCCGCTTACCGACTGCTGCGTGAACTTCTCATCCAGGAAATCCACGATTCAAACTTCTCCGGACACTTCGGGGTTGATAAAACCCAGAAACTACTGCACCGTCAATATTACTGCCTGATTCATCTAACGACGTGCAGCGCTATGTGTCCTCATGCAGGGTGTGCCAAGCAATGAAATCGACACGTCAGCGACCAGCTGGGCTGCTGCAACCCCTCGAGCCACCTGAACGACCGTGGCAGCAAGTGACGATGGATTTCGTCACGGGGATGCCAGCTGGGCCGTCCGGCAACGACGCTGTTCTTGTCGTCGTCGATCGCTTCACGAAAATGGTGCACTTCGCACCATGCCGAACGACAATCAAAGCCGAAGAAACTGCGTGCCTCTTCATCTCAACGGTCGTGCGACTGCACGGCATCCCTTCGGCGATCATCAGCGACCGAGACTCGAAGTTCACATCCAAGTTCTGGAAGGAGACGTGGGCGCAGTACGGCACGAAGCTACAATTCTCATCGGTATATCACCCACAGACGGACGGTCAAACTGAGCGGACCAATCAGACCATGGAGCAGCTGATCAGGACAAACTGCCCTGACCTGCCCGCTGGGAAGACTCGCTCGCGATGTTGGAATTCGCTGTCAGAACATTATAGCTTATGCTTTTGTGTAGGCTGTAGTGAGATAGCCTATATGGGGTACAACCCAATTATGGTTAGTACTTGTACCCAACTCTTTCATAGTGCAATCATCCTCGTTCATTTTCACATGGTTTCAGAGCACATATGCTACTGGCCTGTGGGCCCTACTACTGCTTCCGCTACTACTCGATCTGTCGCACGCCCCGTGGCGTGCGACCGGTGATTTTCTCTCTGGTGCGCGCCCCGAGGCGCGCGGCCCCGTTCCTTCTAGGCGCGCCACTCCCCGCTACCCCGTCGCGGCCCCATCTCGTTGCGCCGCCCTAGCGGCCGCGTCGCGCCGCCCTCGCGGCCTCGATCCGCTGCCCTAGCGGCCCCGTCACCTGCCCCTGCGGCCCCGGCTCTGCCCTTCCTGGCCCCGACGCCGCCCTTACGGGCCCCGGCGCCGCCTCTTCTGGCCCCGTCGCCTACCTCTTCGGCCTCGGCGCTGCCCTTCCCGGCCCCAACGCGCCTACATGCGGCCCTGCCGTCTACCTTCGGCCTCGCCGCCTACCTGCGGCCTCGCCGCCTACCTGCGGCCCCGCCGCCTACCTTCGGCCTCGCCGCCTACCTGTGGCCCCGCCGCCTACCTTCGGCCTCGCCGCATACCTGCGGCCCCAACGCCTACCTTCGGCCTCGCCGCATACCTGCGGCCCCGCCGCCTACTTTCGGCCTCACCGCCTACCTCTGGCCCCGCCGCATACCTGCGGCCCCGCCACCTATCAGCGGCCCCGCCACCCATCTCCGGCCCTGCCGCCTACCTTCGGCCTCGCCGTCTACCTTCGGCCCAGCAGTCGAGCCGCCCAGCAGCCGAGCAGCCGAGCCGCCGAGCCGCCCAGCTGCCCGTCGCCATATCTACGGCTCCGCCTGAGCCGCCCGAGCCGCCCGAGCCGCCTGAGCAGCTGAGGAGCCGAGCCGCAGGTGCCGCCGAGCCGCAATTGCTGCCGAGCCGCCGTGCCACCGAGCCGCCCGAGCCGCCCGCACCGCCGAGTTGCCGAGTCGCCAAGTCGCCGAGCCTGCTCTTCCCACCACTGGTGAGCCCCTGCCCTGCTAGCGCGCTGCCCGCCACTTGCTTACCTGCCTGCCTGCCTTTCGGCCTGCCTGGCTGCCTGCCTTACTGCTGCTACTCCTGCTCCTGCTTCTACTGGCGGAGCCAGATGCAGCCCTAGCGACGTCCGCGTGAGTCCCTCACGCCCCAGCAGCTACGTGAGTGGTACGCTGGTTGGGGTTGTAGGGGTGGCGGCGCTGCTACTACTACCACTATTGCTGCTACTACTACTAGCGGCGGCCAGATGCAGCTCCTGCGACGCCGACGCGCGTCTCTCACGCCCCAGCAGCTTCGTGAGTGGTACGCTCAGAGTAGAGGGTCTCTCAGTTCTGTTCGCTGCTCTTACGTGATTCGCACTGGTGCTCGGACTGGTCAGCCTTGTGGGACACCTAGTCACACACAGTCCCGCTGCTTCGCCCGTCTGAGCGACGCCTGACGTACCGAGTTTGGCAACGAGGCTGAGCTCCCCGACTGGGTGGAGTTGCTTAGGCAGAGGGTAGATATATTTGCTCTTGACTATGATGCTATTCTCACTGCCATGTATGCATTGCCTACTAGTGTTGACCGTGTCGATCACCTGTGCGTACCGCCTAACCCAGGTATAGAGCTTGCTGCTCTAGCTGCTGGTGAGGCTGCTGCTCTGGGTGCTAGTGAGTTTCCTGCTCCAGGTACAGGTGCGGCTGCTGCTCTAGGTGCTAGTGAGTCTGCTTCCTCAGGTGCGGGTGAGTCTGCTCTCTCAGGTACCGCGTTGGCTTCGGCCTCTCACACCTTCACTCTTGACTCGGGGGCTTCTCGCTCCTTCTTTCGAGACCGCACCACACTCACGCCGCTTGGTCGGCCAGTTGCAGTCTCTCTGGCAGACCCCTCTGGGGGTCCTGTCCTTGCTCACTTCTCCACTGGCCCCCCCGTGTCCGGCGGCCCCCTCTGGCACCCTGTCTGGTCTTTACCTCCCCTCGTTCTCTACAAACTTGGTGAGTGGTGCTGACCTACAGGATGCGGGGGTTCACCAGTTCACTCCTGCGAGTCAGCGGGTGACCCACTGCACGGACGCTCGGACAGGCCGACACCTGGCCACGTTTACACGTCGGCCGGGGTCGAGCCTGTACACGCTGACCACTACGTCTCCTCCTGTCACTGCGTCTAGTCAGGTAGCTGCGTCGGGTCAGGTGTTTGCTGCAGCGTCCAGGTCTGGTCCTGAGTCTTCCCCCTGCTCGTGTCGTCTCCTGTCTCTGGAGGTACTGGAGTTGGAGGTGCTGCTAGTGCTGGTGCTGCCGCTAGGGGTACTAGTGCTGTCCCTGCTGTGTCTGGAGTCGCCATGTGGCCTCGGCCGTACTTTGTTCCGCTCCTTCAGCAGGTTCTTGGTCTCCCGCATTCTACTGGTCCTCCTCCTCCCTTCGAGTGTCCACAGCCTGTCCCGTCACACTTACAGTTACAGCCGGCCTCCATACTGA